TGGTTCGGACTACTGTAGCTACAGTAGAAACATTCACTATGGGTGATTTGAGTTGGACAGGGTTCTAGAACCACTGGTAGGAGCGGTTGAACTTTCTCCTCTTCTCTCATTTGGACGGATCCTGTGAAACTCTAGATTTAGCTTTTTGAAGAGTAGTTTTTTGCTTGAGATAGCAATTCTAGCTTAGTTGAGACTTATTTCGATCTTCGTTTCACTCAATGGAGCAAACTAGACAAAAACCAAATATCCCACAAAAACTGGGTTTTGACATGGAGGGTCAATGGAGAATCTTTTTGGGGCAGTGACCACTGTAAAGCTGGATGGGGTCAATTATTTAGTCTAGTTTCAGTAATATTAAGATAAATGTGTGTAGTAGAGGAAATGGGGTTACATCACCGAGAGCAAAAAGAAATCAGGGGAGGACAACCCTACCTATGAGAGGTAGATGCAAGAAAATTACATAGTAGTGGGTCAGTTAGTAGGAATGGCAACGGGGTGGGTTCGGGCCGGGGATCATATTCCCCATCTCCGACCCCGATTCTGAAATGAACCCCCATCCCCATCCCCGATCCCTGTTGGGGATAAAATGGGTCCTCCATCCCCGACACCTGACGGGGATGGGTTCGTCGTGGGGACCCGAATCCCCAAAATATTTTTAGATAACAGTATTTTTTTGAAAAATAAATAAAAAAACTCAAATTATAAATAATGTTTTAAATGTGTTTTGATATATAGAAATAATATAATAATATATATTTAATATAAATAACATTTAATATATAAATATATAATCGAGGTTGGGGCAGGGCGGGGACCTCAATCCCCACCCCCAACCCTGACCGGGGATTCCTATTAATCCACGTCCCCATCCCTGACCCGATGGAGTTGGGGAAGTCAGGTCCCAGTCGGGGATGGGGAAAATTCCCATCCCTATCGGTTAGTGAATTCTATGCAGCCATATATTAGCCAACACTACTTGTGGATGGAAACCACAAAGGAGGTGTGGGATAGTATCATGAAAACCTATTCCCAAAAATTGAACGTTGCCCGAGCTTACAAATTGAAGAATGATGTGAATAATCTAAGATAGGGGGAGAAGCCCTTAGTTATTTCCTTCTCCATGCTAAAATCTCTTTGGTAGGAGATAATTTCATGGAAACGGTGGTTCGGGGCCGTGTTTTAAAAGCGCAAGGGCTGATTTGCGCCTGAGGTGAAAGGCGCAAGGCGAGGCGCGCGCCTTTTTAAGAAAGGCACAAAATTACAAAAATAAAATAAAATAAAAGCTAAAAAATAAAAAAAGGTCAGAAATTTCCAAAAAAGTGCCAAAATTTTTATAAAAATGCAAAAAAATATTAAAACATAATGTTAATAAAAATATAAACTTTAATTTTAAAATAAATGATCTAAAAAACCTATTATCTAAAATTAAAATGCATAAACATAACATGAAGAGCGTATTCAAATGAAAATTTAAAAATAAAAGCAAACATAAAGCATTTTCAAGCATGTAAAACCCACAATCTCTTTTTTTCCTTAATTGCATTGCTTCAAGTAGTTAATGTGATGTAAAACATATTGCATTCTTGATTCTATGAGTCGCCTTTGTAGCACGCCCCTCGAGGCAAGCCCGAACAACTCTATGTTAGGGTCTGAAATTCTTATTTCTCACAAAAAATAATGATTTTACAACTTTCATTGCCTTTTAAGAAGATATTTTATTGCAATGAATGAATGAACAACATAAGCAAAAAGTGCAAAATTTTAAAAAGGCACACGCCTGGGATGAGGCGCAAGGCGCATCAAGCACACGCCTTTTGAAAGAGGTGCTCCTAGGACCTAGGCGTGGCTCATACCCCAAAATGAGCCTCGCCTATGCGCCTAGGCGTGCCTTTTAAATCACTGGTTCAGGGGAACACAAAGGATGCTGAAATGCATAGGAAGCTGGTGGAAGGAATTCGGGTTTTTGAGTTCTTTACCAGACTCAACCCGGAGTATAATATTGTGAGACAGAATGTTTTGGCAAAGGATGAGGTGAATTTATCTCAGGCTTATGCTATGGTGAGTAGTGAGGAGAGCAGGAGACAGGTTTAGTCTGTAGAGCTATAGATAGATCACTATGCTAATTCGGGATGAAGTCGAATGTCAGCACTAGGAAGAAAGATGTTTGTGAATACTGCAAAAAAGCCTAAACATACTAAAGACACTTGTTGGAAGCTACATCCAGAGCTTATACCTACCAGACTCAAGAATGCAAACAGTGGAAAAATATTTGAGAATGGGAAAGGTGGAAATGCAAATGTAGCCACCTCCTCACAAAGTGAACAAGGGCATAGTGGTGAGAAGTTAGTGGGGAAGCAACTAGCAGCCACCAAGGCTAAGTATGAGAGTATGGTTGAATAATTGGTCACCTAGAGTCTATTGCTACAACACCCACTTCAATAGAGACAATTCCCTCTTCATCCGCATATGCCCATTCAGGTATTCGTGCTACTACGAATCATGCTTCTATCTCAAATAATCATAGGATCCCTTGGATAATTGGTTATGATGCCTCTTACCATATGACTAGTGTGTCCCATTTATTTTTCAATTTACCAACTTTTATCTAGTCGAGATAAAATCACCCCTGTTGATGGCTCTCTTGCTCCTATCTCTAGCAAGGGAAACATTAGAGCTTCAGGCACCCTCACCTTATCCACAATCCTTCATGTTCCAAAATTAAACACTAATTTGCTTTCAGTAAGTAATTTGACAAAATCCTTGAATTGAGTGTGACCTTTTTTCCCTTCTTACTATGCTTTTAAGGTCATGGACTCCCAGAAGGTGATTGGGAGTGGCCATGAGGCTAATGGGATATACCTGTTGGACATGCCTAGACAAAGTCAAGTATCACCTACGGAGCAGCTTTTGGTTCTAATGTGGCAGAGTCAAACAGTCGTATCATGTCATGTCATGTCATTATCGTTTGGGTCATATTCTTTTTCTTCGAGTCTTTTGTTTCTGGCTTTGTTTAAAGAAACTAAGTTGTCAAAGCATTGTAGAAACTCTTAGTCTACAAGTAATAAAAGATCTACAATTCCTTTTCATATTGCTCACTCTGATGTGTGGGGGCCCTACCATTTACCTTGCATGGATGGTTATAAATATTTTATTTTGTATATTAATGATTTTTCTCATTACAACTAGCTTTATCTTATGTGTTCCCATGCTAAAGTACCCAAACTTGTAAAACAATTTCATGAATTTGTACTTACCCAATTTGATACCCACATCAAGATATTCCGATCAAATAATGCTAAAGAATATTCTGAGAAAGATCTTGTTCCATACTATAAGAAAGATCATATTCTTGTCCCCCTCTAATGCAATAGGGCTAGAACCAACTATCACAAGATAGAAAGAGAGAGAGAGAGAGAGAGAGAGATCCTACAAGCTTCATGAGTGCAAACCTAAAATCTTTGTTTTTTAGACATCATGACAGTCGAAATATTCTTCTAGTTTAGCAATCCAATCAACGAATGCTTGTTGGTCTTCATCTCCCTTGAAATTAAGCACTTCCCTTTCTCTTCTAACGTTCTTGAAAACCTTACTCCTATAACTGACATTACTAGAACTATTTTCTTCCACCGAATTCTCAAGTAAATCAATTATAGACACTTCATATGGTTCAAAAAACCTATCATCATTGATTTTATACCCATGAGATTGGTTAAATGACACCTCAGGCCTATAGAATCGATCACTTTGTGAGAACATGGTGATTAACCATTAGCTCTGATACTAAACTAATGCAGTAGGGCTAGAACCAACTATCACAAGATAGAAAGAGAAAGGGCGAGGGGGGGGAGAGAGAGAGAGAGAGAGAGAAATCCCAAGGAATCACTCCATACAAAAAACTTACAAGAGAGCTCTAAAGAAATATACATTCATTCATTAGCTTCAAAAGGAAAAGAATACATCTAAGCTAGAGGAACAAAAATGCCACTCCTTGTCTTACGTACGCATCAAGAAACACAATAACTTTCTATCTACTAATGCAAATAAACTGAAAATTGAAAGACAAGCACTACTAAGCTAGAGGAACAAGATGTTATAGCTCAAGCCCACATGGGACAGGTCAAAATGACGAAAATACTCATACTGTCCAAATATACAGAAATACAGAATTTCGGAAAATTCCGAACTTGATTCTTCAGCTCCTGCATCACCCTTCCCCACTTAAGTGTCTAATCCAACACGTCCAACCTTGATGTACCTTCTCTTCTCTTTTCTGTCAGAATACACATGCCACATGGCTACTATGTCGTATCTGTCTAATATATACATAAATCTATGCATACATATTAAAGCATCAAACTATATAACATATAACTTATTCATTTGCACGTGTATATATGTATAATGACTATTAAAAAAGATTGCATACCTTATTTGATGTGTTCTCAAGCTGACCATTTGATGGTGAAACTGTGGAAGGTGAAACATGTAATCGTGTTTGATCACTAACCCTTGAACCACGTCCTCGGCTTGTAACAGAGCGTCCCCTTCCACGACCTTGCTTTTTCCTATTTATATCCTCTGTACCAGCTTTTGTATCTATGGTTTCCACCACCTTTATCCTTCCTTCAGATACTCCCTGTTTATCATTCTTTAGAATTACCATACAGTTTTTAGAAACCAAAGGAAACATACGGCCAATAGAAAAACTTGAGCAAAAAACTTCCAACAGCAACCATACTTAAAGCATGCCCTTCAGAAAAAGAAATAAAAATTAAAGGCAATGTAGTTATTCCTTGCATTCTAACAAATGGATCATGAGAAACACCCAAAAAGTGTAGACACACTACTAAACAATGACCAAAACTAAGTTACTAGAAGCATAAGGGGGGAGAAGAAACAAGGAGTTTTTGGAGAATCATGGAATAGCTGCTTAAGGAATTTGTATGCCACAGGCCCAGGTGGAAATGGCTTTTGGTCCTTGAGCCTCTGCCTAGAATATTTGGTTTTTATATTACTCACTACTCAGGCTGGGCTTGCACCCAAGCCATAGATAGCCAAAGTCCAACTGAACTAATCCAAGCCAAGCCCAATAGTACATACATACAACTAAGCTTTTTTGGTAATAAATAAAAAAAGAAAATTTTATTAATAAAAGGAGAGAAAGTACATCAGGAGGGTGACGAGAGGAATTGGTAGGCATTTTTTTATCAGCAAGAAATTTATTGCATTAATTAATTACAACTAATATAAGAGTAGAGTTTGATGACCATAGAGTCATCCCAAGTAATGTTTGCTAGATTACAGAGAAGCCCAAAGCAACTGTTGCCTTTCCACTCCTTGTTTAGCAAGGGAATCAGCTAATCCAATTTGCTCACCATTTTACACACTTGAAATCAGCATTTAGTTATCTTGCAAACCTTTTTTTATGAATAACAGAAACTGATTTATAATAATAATAATAATAATAAAGAAAGAGTAGAAAGGGGATAAAGGGAGAGATAAACTCTCTTAACTCTCCTAAATACAAACATAATTACAATACAGCCCAAAATAAAATATCCCTTCCCAATGTTTGCTTTGCTAATGCATCAGCGAATGAATTAGCATTCCTTTACACCCATTGCACATTGATTTCCATTCCCTAAGACAGCCAAGTACTCATTTTCTCATTAATATAGCACCATCATCCAGCCTTCTCTTCGTTATTCAACCACTCAATAGCTAACTTGGAGTCCCCCTCAATTACTAGCTTCTGAATGTTCAGCTTTGTTGCCCTTTTAAGACCTTCCAGTTCCAGCACAGCCATTATTTCAGCCCTCAAAGAATCTCCAACACCAAACGATCCCGAGTAGATAGCAATGATTCGTCCTTCGTCATTTCTAAAGACAACCCCTATGCTTAAGGGACCCAGACTTCCTTCACTACTCCCATCAAAATTCAGCTTAATAAAGCCACATGGAGGAGGGGACCAAATTCAGTTATCTTGCAAGCCTTGCAACTTCCCTGTAAGCATTCTTGAGAGTCCAAAGGATATGTTTGTTAAATCTTGCCCAAGAGATAACTACTTTTGAATCCCCTTTCACCTCCATTTGTGAGTTTCCACTCCATTCCTATTCTTTCTTTTTCTCTAGAGGACTATGCTACCTTCTTCCATGCCCTAAGGATATCTTTTTTTTTTTTTTTTGAAGAATAAAAGGAAAATTTAATAAAGAGAAAAAAAAATATACAGCAGAAGGTGATAAGAAATCACCTAGAGCAAGAAACACCCATGGGAAACCCAAACAGGCCTAAGAATACTACACCTCACAAGCAAAATAAAACCCAAACAAACTCCAAAAAAAAGAAACCCAATACACAAACCCCATCAAAGCAGAAACCGCCGCCCAATTCTAAACAAAAGCAAAACCTTTCTAGTTGTCAACATCAATCTTCATCTGTAGTGTAAACACATCCTCTTGATTTGAGAATTCCTCGTCTCAGTCTTTACTGCCTTTCAAAAGTACTTTGGCCTTCATTTTCTCTTCCTCTTTTTTCATTCAAATTCTTCAAAAGCCCTCCAAGTAAATTCCTCACCACCCCAAGCTTTTCCCAATTGTAACCTCCCTATCAACTAATTTTTGGATATCATTAATTGTGAAGTTCCGAAAGCACTCCAAGGTGTTAATCCAAAATGCAACCTTTATTTTTTATGGCCACTATTACTTCCTCCACAGTTCTACTCTTTCCATTGAACATTTTGTTGTTCCTCTCTTCCAAACAACTTCTGCCTTAATTACTTTCCACATTAATCTCCCCTTTTTATTTAGTTGCCTCAAGAAATTTGGGTTGAAAATGCCCACCACCTCTTGAGGAGGGACCCACATGTAGCCAAAAAGAGAGCAGAAAGACTCCCAAATATGAGAAACAAAGGAACAGGAGATTAATAAATGGGATAAGGATTCTCCACTATCCCTACAAAGGAAGCACATATAAGGAGAAAGGCAATGAAAGGGCCTTCTATTCTGCAGCATACCATACCTTTCCAAGGAAGATTTCCCAACAGAAGGCTTGAATTTTGGTGGGATAGGCTTACTCCAAAGTCCAAATTTCTTTTATCGGGAAGCCCACCTCTTGGGAACTAGGAAGGGCTAAAAGCTTGAAAAAAGAGGAACAAGTGAAGAGTCCATCAAGAGAGCCAGTCCAAATTCTATAGTCTTCTAAGGTTGAGTCCGAAAAAGTCTCCAACAAGTCAAGCAGGTTAATCAGTGCACTGCATTCACTCTCCCTAGGGCCTCTTCTAAAACCAAGGTTCCAGTTAAGACCTAAAGGAGAGGAAGTTCCTAATGGACACCAATTCATCCTTGAGGTTAGAGAGGGCAAAGAGTTCAGGGAATTGATCTTTCAAAGGTGTTTCCCCTATCCCAAGGTCTTTTCAAAAACGTTTGTTGCCACCCATGCCCACATCATTGAAGACGGAGCTAATAAAAGAAGGGTATACCTCATGAATTGCTTTCTAAGGAGAAGCTGAAGTTGAGTGATGATTAAGTTTTGCATTCCAACCATTACCCTCCAGACCATGAATGCTTACTATTACTTCATGCCACCCACAACCTATCTCTTTTGAACAAAAATCTCCACAGCCACTTTCCCAACAAAGCAGGGTTTCTGAAGACGGTATTTCCTAATCCTAGGCCCCCTTTTCACCTTTGGTTTGCAAACCCGTTCCCACTTAACCAAATGATCTTCTCTTTCCTTTCCCGACTCCCACAAGAAATTCCACATATATTTCTCTAGTTGATTTGCAATCTTGGTCAGGATACAGAAGGTGGATAGGAAGTAAATAGGTAGATTTGCTAAAACAGCTCTTATCAAGGTAATTCTTTTCCAAAGGACTAGCTTCTTAGCAAACCTCTTTACCACCAGCTTCCAAAAACCATTGGATCTTGGATTTCTCCCAAGGTAGACCTAGACAGGTTATAGGCCATTTCCTAACTTCACAACCCAGCACCTCCACAAAGCTTAGAAGTTCCCTTTCTTCCAAGCTGATTCCAACAATACCACTTTTATTCCAGTTTATTCTCAATTTTGCGATTTTCAAAAGTTTCCAATCAATGATTTCAAATTTCTTACCATGCCTAGGTCAACATCCACAAAAACAGAATTGTGTCATCAACAAACTAAAAATGGGAGACAATTACTTGATTTCTGTTGAACCTCCAACCAAACCCTGTGCATCTGCCTCCATCTTGGTTACTTATTTGCAGTTTGCAAATGATATCCTAGTTTTTTGTGATGGGGATAGCAGAGATGGGGTGGAAAACTTGAAATTGGTAGTAAAAGTCTTTGAGAGAATGTCCAATTTGAAGATTAATTGGTCTAAAAGTTTACTAGATAGCATCAATGTAGAAGAGGGTGAGCTAAGGGTTTAGGCAAAATCTTTAGGTTGTGAGAGAGGGGACTAGCCTTTGGAGTATTTAGGTTTACCTCTAGGTGACAACCCTAGAACAACCAGTTTTTGGACCCGAGTGGTGCAAAGGTTTGAAAAGAGAAAAACGGGCTGGGAAATGAATCATATTTCATCAGGTGAGAAAACTAACCTTAATTAAACCCACTTTGCCCAACCTTCTGGTGTGTCTATTTTTAGGATGCCCCAAGGAGAGGTGAGAAAAATTTTTTAAAAAAAATTATGAAGGATTTTCTAATGGGAACCGAAAGGAAGAAATATCACTTGGCGAGATGAGGGAAGGTGGTAAAATTGAAAGTATAAAGCCTAGGAATTGGAAATGTGAAAAAATGTGGCTTTGTTAAGCAAATGGCTTTAGAGGTTCCCTAAAGAAAATGAAAGATTGTGGTACAAAATTATAACAAATATCCACAGGCTGTCAAAGAATGGATGGGATGTTGGTTGCCTGCATAGAGCTACTTTGGTTGCTCCTTGGAAAGCTATCCATTTTATCCTTCCTGCCTTCCTCAACCACATCAGGTATGATTTGACATCGGTTCAAAAAATTAAATTTTGGGAAGATATTTGGGTTAGGGAGCATCCTCTGTCTAAGATCTTTCCATCCCTTTTTTTATCTTTGGGGTGCAGGTGGAATAAGCTTTGCTTGGCGCCATCGAAGAGGAAGAATAATGTAGCGGTGTGCAAGAGCAGCTCTGATATAGACAATGTGGGAGGAAAGAAATGCAAGGATTTTCCAAGAGAATGAGAGAAGTAAACAAGAACTAAAGGAGTGTATCTTGTATAATGCTATCTTGTGGCTGAAATCTCTGGATCTATTTCATCAATTTTCTTTTGATGATCTTTGGAGGAGTTGGAAAGCAATGACAAGCTCCTCCTCCTCCCGAAGAAGAGGATGTGTATGAGTTAGCCACCCTCTCTTGAAGGCTTTATGAAACTAAATTTTGATGGTAGTAGCCAAGGTAATCCAGGTCCCTCTGGGATGGAAGGGGTTTTAAGGAATGAAAGTGGAAATGTGGTTCTCTTATACTTGAGCCCCTTAGGAGTGTGGGACTCCACTAGGACAGAATTATTAGCTGCCCTTCAAGGGGTTCAATTTGTAGTACAGATAGGAGTGGAACCAATGTTTTAAAAACCGACCCGGAGGCCAAACCGTTTTTGCCTCCAAGTCACAGATCACCAATTCGACCGTTCAGGTCGAACGGGTCAGACCGCCCCACATGTATGTGTGTATGTGTATAAATATATATTTTATCAATAAATAATGTATAACTATGTTTTAGATATGTTATATATATTTTTATATTTAATTTATGTTTTTCAGTTCAGTATTTATTTTTATTTATAAAAAAAAATAAAAATTGCAATTTGAGGCCAAAATGGTTTTTTTTTGCGAAAATAGCAGGGCAAGGAGCCCACTTGGGACGCATAGATCTCAAAAAGTTACCCAAAATCAAAAAATGAGATCACCCCAATCGGACATTGAAGTGCAAAGTTATGACCTCCGAAAGTTTGCATGCATTGAGTGTGCAACCCGCGATCTTGTGACCAGGTCGAACGGGTCAACGGTTGAACCAGCCAGGTCGGATGGTTCTTGACCAAGTCAACAATTTTTTTACCGCCTAACGGGTTTTGATTGAACCAGACCCAGAATCCTGGCCTGGTGACGGTTCAAATGGTTCAACCGGCTGGGTCAACAGCAAGTTGAAAACACTGAGTGGAACAACTACTAATAGAAGGAAATTCCAAGGTGGAATATTATATTTTTTTCTAGAAGGTGAGGAATTCAATGAAGTCACTTGACAACTAGTATCTTGCAATTTTCTATTGAAAAAAATCCTGGATAACTGTGACTATATACTGCAATACAAGCTACAATAATTGTATAGAAGACCAGCAATTCCAGAGTTCTTAATAAAATAAGTCACTAGAACATACCTCAGAGTGTTCAAAAACAGTTGACTGATCATCCTCATCAAGCCTTTGCCGTTTCTGGTTGTTCGGTTGTATAAGAAATTCCCCTCCATTCTGCAACCATGTTATAAAAACATAACCTCCATTCTTCAGTTCCCAAGCATGTTTCGGGGGGAGGGGGAGATCAAAAATAAAAAGTTGAAAGATAGGATCATAACCATGTATATCAAGATTATCAATAGATAATGTATCAGGTTTGGCACATAAGAAAATTAATATACAAGTGTGTGAATAGATGGAGAGAATTATATATAAGTGATTTCTGATAAGGTGGAATATGACAGAAAATGCATCAATGAGCACATATAAAGCTTAAGTACAGCATCTTTCTTTCCATTTTCCTCCCTTTTGATTCATGATATCCAGGGAGAACGTGAAGCCTCCCATCTCAAACGCATACCCAAAATGCAGAAGAATCCAATGCAAGAAGCAAATTATAGGTTTACTTCCTACTCATTTTAGGCAATCAGAAATTGAGACAATAGTTTATAAGCATATGGTACAAAAGTAATAGTCCAACTGAACAGAAAATTGGAGAAATGAAAACCAGAAGGGACTTGCATCATCATCAGAGTCGCTTGAAATTGACGGCTCGGCCGAGTCCTCTGTTGCTCCAAATTTTGTCGAAGAAGCTGATGGCCATGTTGCCTGTGCAGGTGTAGTCGAGGAGCCCTTTCCCGCCATCCTAGCTTCCAGCTTAGCAAGCTTCGTCGGGAGAGATGGATTTGACTGATTCGAAGAATTGGAGAAATGAATGAGCATATCCTCCGACATGGCGAACTAAGACAAAAGCAAACAGAAATGGCTCCAGAAAACTAGTTCAGATTAACCACTACAAAGAAATCCCTCCTATACTCCTCAGGAGTGAAAGTCTCCGTGAAGAAGAAATGGCTTAAAATGCGCCTTTGGTGCTAAAATGCGCCCCAACCATGGTCAAGAAGAGGGAAAAATCCTTAGAAGCGACATGATTTGATCCAATAAGTTGGGTCGGTAATGAAGGGCTACTGAAATTGCTATAAATGATCGGAATCCAAACGTTGCATACCAGACGATGGGGAACAGAGACAACAGCAAATTTAGAATTTTAGGGTTTGTATTTAGTTTTCCCCAGAACCGAATAAGGGGAACCGAAGGGAGGGAAAGATCTTTCAAAACTACGGGGGGTACTGACGAGAATTTTGGACGAGTAAAATGAGGTTATTTCTATTCTAGTTGTTTTGTTCTTTCGGCGAAGAAAACTAGAAAAAGGGGCTGGTTTGGTGAGTGAATCATACACTAGAGAACGAGGATGAGACACACAAAACTATGTAGAGGTGTATGTCACAAGTAGAGTGAAGTAGACAATCCTCTATGGGTTCATGGCCATGGGGGTGGCTTGTGAGGATGGGAAGGGAAACTCTGGTGCCCTAGATTGAGAAATGTGACTTGACTGCCAGGGTGGTGGCATATGGGGATATGTAGAAGAGACACATGAGAGATGGGCTTGCTTTGTATTTTTTTTCTTAGGCAAATTATAAAGACCTCCCTCGTACTATGGGGTTTGTGACAAAATCCCCCTTGTACTTTTTTTTGCGACAAAGACCCTCTGAACTTTGACCATTAGACAAAGACCTCTCTCTATCTGCACTCCGGATTCAGTGCGTTTGGACTCGAAGGGATTTTCTCTTCGAGCCCATTAAAATTTTTACACGTCATTCAGTGCTCTACCAACCAACCAGCTGAAATTTTATGAGTGACAAAAATAATTTCAAATAAAAATTGATAACTCTTTAAAACTAATATGACGGAAATTTCCAAAGCCCTCATGTTCTCAGACTCTAACCTTTTTCGGCCAACCGCACCATTAACAGCAATAAGCCTTTGTCAACGGTGTTCAACCTACAACAGAACGGCGACGAGCAACACAAACGGTAGCAGCAACGGTGTTAGTGAAAAGTTTCAAACATCAAGAATATTCAAAGGAAAGCTAATATCTATGTCTAAGGTTTTTCATCTTTCCTTCTTGAATGCCAATGATAGAATCATTTTTTTATTTTCTTTTTAATTCTAACAAATATTAATGTTGTATGAATGTTTGGAAATTCTTTTCCTCTTTATCTATTGAGTATTTCTTTTTGTTTTTTTTTGTGCTATTTTACATTTGTTGCTTGAATTAACCAGTATTTGTTGTTCAAAAAACCCCAACCATTCATGGGAAGATAAAGTCTTCTTGTGGTTATGACTTTGGATATGCAAGACAAACCCAAGACATGAGGTTGTCTTCTTCTTCTTCTTCCATGCAAATGTTCTTCTTTATACGAACAAAAAAATCTAAAGCACCCACGTTCTCTTCTCTGTTCTTAGACTTAGACCTTGCTCCCTCAATCAATAACAACTATAGTTCACCCCTGTTTTGGCAAGCCAAATGGCAAAATGAAATAAAGAGAACTAAAAAACAGACAAGATCTCAACATCAAAAGAATCGTTCAGGGGTGCTCTGTTCTATTATTGTTTCATTTTCCTCATCGATTTCGCTAACTTGAATCACCGGAAATGATGGGATTAAATCAAGGCAAATGATAAGCGAGAAACAGATTTTAGCATCCGCAGGAGGTGCCTTGGCCTTAGGCTTCTTCAGTCCAAGCAATTATACCAAGCAGTGTCTCGGTATATGGTACAATAACATTTTCGTGTCAGTTCTACAAGTACTTGGCTCAGGAGCATATCCTGAGTGAAGTCAAGTGGCTGATGCATCAATACCCAGATGAGGAACTAAGCATAAACATGACCGGCCATAGCCTGGGTAGCGCGCTAGCGATGCTAAGTGCTTATGACATAGCAGAGACGGGCGTGAACGTGATAGAGGATGGCCAGGCGGTTCTGGTGATGGTTTTCTCGTTCTCAGGGCTGAGAATCGGGATTGTGAGCTTCAAGGTGCAGGTGGAGAGGTTGGGGGTGAACATTCATGACACGGTGCCAGAGGTTTCAGGTATATTGTTTAACGAGCACGTGTCGGAGTTGATTCACCGGTTGACGCAGTGGTTGTCGTGATGTTACTCGCATATCGGAGTATAGCTCATACTGAACCACCAGTACTCTTTCTTCCTCAATTTTTTATTTAAAATACTTTATTAGTCAAAAAGCTTAAAGTGGTTGCAGTTGATGGCCAATTGAACACTGATCGATGTGTCAAAATTTTAGTGGGCTCGAAGAGAAAATCCCTTTGAGTCCAAACGCACTGGATCCGGAGTGATATATCTGCATTTCGCCCATTATCTCCACGAAAGATTCTCTTTTAATTGTTGACATAAATTTAAATCCTAAAACTGCCCTTTTCAATATTTTTAGACGATTTTACCCTTATTTTCAAATTTATCTATTTTCCCTTTGGGCGAAGTTTTGTCTTGTTATTTTCTACCGCGATGGAGCTTTAGAGGCATAAAGGGTTTCTTCTTTGCATAGTGGAGCTTAAGGCTCCATTTAGTTTACGGGAAGATTTGGATGGGATGGGAAAGGGTGGGATGGGATGGGATGAGAAAGTGTGAAGTTTTCACTTCCCATTGTTTGGTTATGCAAGGGAAAATAGTGGGAAAATTATTTTCCTTATGTTTGTTTCGTAGGAAAATCATTAGAGCTTAACTAAATTTCTTGCACCCCTCCGTGTTTCTTCCTCTTAATTTGTTGAAATATCAAATTGTAAGAATGATGAAAAACTTGGGTTGGATAAATTTTAACACAACCTGACATGGTCTTGTTAAGTTTTTTAGTAGGTTGGATCTAGCTAGCAGGGCTTCAAGCAAGGTGAAAGCTTTAACTTAGCTCTAGTTGGGCTTCAGTGTGTTGTGGTGAAAGCCTAGATTTCATCTTATGCTTTTCGCCATAGATTTTGCAAATCGGATATTCATTACAACCAAACAATGAGCCAATTTTAATTCTAAGGGAGAAAAAGCAAAATTTTCAAAACTGTAATTCATACACATATGGGTATCCGTATGTTGCTCTATTTCAATGATTTCATATCATTGGTTTTAACATAGACCTGAATTAAACAAAAAAAAAATCTTTGAAACAAATAATAATAGATTACCGTTTCCTTGAGCTCCTCTCCATGTAAATCCTGAAGGATGTCGAGGAACCAATCCAACAGAAGAGCATCGTACTCAACAAGTTTGTCATCTTCAGAGACCTTTCTAGGGACCAAAAGCCTCAGTTGAGCGTCGGTCGATGCCAACTTCTCTAAATTCCGAGAAGTAAAAAGTAACTCTCTCTCTCTCTCTCTCTCTGAAAAAAAAAACGAGAAAAACATATATGATCTGAACCTCATAACAGGGTCCCTATTTATAAAAGCATAAAAGACCAATAAGCTTAGAAAAACTGGGAATACAAGAAAATAAAATACTCTCTTTGGCTCTGCTTCTCACCTACACAAGTATAAAGTAGCTTCTCCTTGCCGAAAGTAGTGAAGAAGATGAAAGGGGGTCGGTCATTGCAGAGACTGACGCAACAATGGTAAAGATATTCTTATGCATCAAAACATACAAGAAAATAGAGAAAAAGGCTCGCCAATGCAAGAGGATTGTAGATTTGATTTTACCTTTGCTCGAGATAAACAAAGAAGTCGTCGGAGATACGACCGACTGTTGGGACTTGGCTGAAGGAAGAAAAGACTATCGAGTTCATGCCTGACAAAGCCCGATAACTTTTCCCAAACGCTATCACTTTTTCCTTTCTCACTAAGGTCGCACTATTTTGGTGGGATCCCATTCACTCGTTTTTTGGATCCCGCGTCTCACTCTTTTCTCACCCCAAACCATTATATCCCAACAAACAAACATGGGAAAAAGGTATCAATTAGGAATATTCCTCTTTTCCCATCCCTTTCCCGCAAACCAAGCAGAGCCTAAGTGGTTGCCTGGATGGAGGCAAGACAAACACTTCCACATCTACAACATCTCCTTCAACACATGGCTCAATCTCTTTGTTGGAAATAAAGGATTAAACACATCTACTTAAAGAAAAATATTTAGGAAATTTATGTTAACCTCAGGTATTTTAATAAATTTACATGTGCAAGGTGGTATGAAGGGTAAATATGATATTTTAGAAAAACCAGTATCGTATATAAGTCTTTTCCGTCTATGAAGTTAACGAGCATGAGCTAAATGTATATATATATTTTTAAACTATAGGGGAGGTTCATGAGGCTACATGAGGATAGCTCATCCCCCTCTCTTAACCCCCAAACCTAGTGGTAAGGGTGCTCACTGTTCAGTTAATCGAATCGTTGGCCTATTTTTGAAACCGAACTGGTCCTATTAGTTTATGAAAAAATGGTAACTAAAACTGAACTAGAGCCGATTGATTAACCGTCAGTTTGGTTCGTCGGTTTTTTGGTTTTTTATATTTATAATATATATTATACAAAACTTATAAATATATAATAAAAATGGAAATATATATAATATTATATTTTAGATAGTAAATAATATATTATATATTATAAATATATATTTATTATAATACATATTATTAATTTATAATATATATAAAATATACAAATATATATATATAATATAGAAATACATGTATTCCAGTTAGTTCGGTTAACCGCCAGTTTTATACATTAGTTAACTGAAACTAAATCAATGCCTTTATCTTTTTAGAAATACCAAACCAAAATTGAACTAACCGGTTCGGTCGATTTTTCAGTTTTTCTTACTCACCCTACTTGGTGGTAGCATGATTTGACCTTAGGTATTACTCCAATGAGCGAGAGAACCAACCAACTAATCCACCATCAATCATAAATGCAAGTTATTAATTTCATTTACCTGATCGTTATTAACTATGAAATTAATTTTTTTCGCAAAAGCCAAATGAGTGCTCTATAACTTTTTTTTTTATAATTATAAATAAAGAGATGTACTAGTTAAAGCTAATAAAACAACAATATTACAAAGATATATATCACAAGAAGCTCATTGTAGAAAATGTAATATCCAAACTAATATTTGATTATGTTGTTAGAGCTTAATCGGGTTGGCATAGATGTTATGGTTTTATTCGCAGGTGGTGTGTGATGGATTTACATGTTAGACGTTAATTGGGTTGGCATGGATGTTATGAATATGTTAGCAGGTTGTGTGTGATGGATTAGTATGGATTGCGCATAGAAGGGGTCTTTGAGACCTTATCAGTGTACTTCCTAGTACCCCTTCAGTTATTTGTTTGGCTTTACAAGTAGGATGGAAGGGGTGTTGTATGAAAATGTTGTTTAAAATTATAAGTAAAATGTATGTTGAGAGAGACTTAAAATGTATGGTTGTAAGAGGTATTTTATTGGTATGATTCAAGTTTGATATGATAATCCGAAATTCATTCTTTTAAATTTGGACTGCATATGGGTTTAGGTTTTAACTCACCATATGGAGCTAAATCTTGTTATTACCATATTTC